TAGTGACCCTTGATAACCTATTTAAAGTACAACTCTCCCTGTTACATTCCCAGTCCTACTCACCTTTTCTAGTTTTTACATAACTCATATTACCTTTTAACAAACTACATAACTTGTAGAATACAAACCCCACAAAGGTGGGGACATTTTTGTTATTTTTGTTATATTTTTACTGATATATCCCCAGTACTTACAAAAGTATCTGACATATAGTAGGTGTTCAGTAAATATATGATGAATGATGGAGGAAGGGATATATGGATAAATGGATGGTGACAGAAGGAAGGGTCAGAGGTCTAGAAAGCAAACCAAGAGAGTATGGGGTAATTGCTACCACATGCTGAAGACTTCCAGATCTATTTCTTTCATCTACATCTGTCTTCTGAGCTTCAGACACATATAGCCAACTACCTATTAAGCTTTTTTAGGTGAATCTACATCAGTTGTACAAAAACTGGCATTACGGTATAGTGGACAGACTACCAAATTATAAATCAAGAGAACCGTGTTCTACTCCCAGCTCTGTCACTGACTAACTGTGGGATAATCATATGACCTCCTTGGAGCTCAAATTCCTTGTCTGTAAAGCAAGAATATTTAGTTAGAACATCCTAGATACTACCAACACTTTATCTAGCTCTAAAATTGTGATTCTCTACTTTAAAAATGTATCTGCCATAATAATGATTTACATAGGTGAAAATCCCTCAAAATGTATTAGGAAAAGCAAGAGCAAATTGATATGTAGCACATAAAGCTTTGTACCAACACTGGAGCCAGCAGTATAGCATAATGGTTAAGTGTTCAAGCACTGAAGTGACACAGGCCTGGTTTCATATCCCAGCTCTCTACTTCTAAATAGCCATGAGCTCTTTGGTAAATATCTTAACCTCTCTGATGTAGACTAGACAGAATCAGACCTGGTCGAAAAATGCAATGGATCAAACTAGACTAGAACAGACCAAGCACCAGTCTCCAAAAGATAAATGGTGTGTGAGTACCCCATTGTTCTAGAAGCAATATCTTCTGAGTCCCAGGAGTTAGAGATATAGAAGGAGGAAAAAAAAGCTTTTTGGAACATATTTTCCCCCACAGGGAGTCTCTCAGAGATTTATTGAATTCCCAATTAGTGGTTCTCGGTAGTTAGAAAAGAATGCAGCACCATCTCTCCAGAGAAGTCAATTTTGCCAAGATTTTTCACTTCAGCAGCTAGACCTCGTGTATGGAGAGGTTACATTTTGAGTCTACTGGGAAGTAACAGTGAGAGGGGGAATAAATGTGGAATATCATATGCTATCTGTGTCCAGGCACATGGGGAAAATACCCAGGTGCCAGGAAAGAACAAGAATAGTTTTTGTTGTTGTTTTGTTTTGTTAATTTTATTTACCATATTAAAATAGGCAGACCCCGTTTTGGCTCTCGTGGCTGGATTCTATAGAGAATTAGAGATAGTAGGTAAATTGAGCATTAACAAAAAATCACTAGCCTTCTGATTTTTCCAGTCAGCTGGGATTACACTAAAATGCATCTGACCCCTGCTGATTGTCCAGAGGGCCTTCAATCTTGAGCTGTCTAATAAAATCAACTTAAAGACTTTGCAGTATATAATTTCTGGCAAGCCAGCTGAGTGGCCTGTGGTGCTCCTTTGAAAAGCAAGATGCAAAAAAAAAAGTTAAGTTAGAAATTCAACTATATTTAAAGAAAGAAAGAAAAGCAAGATGCAAGTGGTTTATAGGGTCCGCTGTGCTGCTTCCTGCCTCATTTCTCAAAGATCAGCATTGACTCTGATCCTAATGCTGATTGCCCCAGCATAGCTCCCCAGAGTGGATGCTTGGGTCTAATTAGAATTGCTAGAAGCTCCTCCTTTTCCATTACCAGAGATTAGAGTTCTTTATATTCCCAGTTATCTTGAATCTTTTTTTACATGGAAGGTTTCTTTGTCTCCATCCTGAGTGGTGATTGGAGTGCTACAGAGCTTAGCACATTACCTGATTAATAGGTGGGCTTTGAATTTGGTCTCCTATGGGGTTCTCATTGCTGTGCCCTAATCACTGTATTTCAGTGGGATTAGAAAATCAGGCCCAGGCTACAAAGTGCTTTGAGCTGTTAATTAAGGAACAGGTACTATCCATAAGGAAGATAGTACAGCCCCATTGCCTTGCTTGATGGTATTCACCTAAATTTCAGCAAATGCTATCAAAGTGGCTTTCTACATTTACCCAAGGAAAATAAATAAATCCCCAGCCTTCATGGCATTACTCTTAGTGGCTTTTATGCTCTTTTACTTAGCAGATAGTCACTGCAGAAGAATCACAGCACCTAAATGGAGTGATTACTTCATCGCAGAATTTTTTAAATCCCACAAATGTAGCTAGAGGAAGGAACTTTTGCATTTTCAGTATTACATATAACTGTGGCAGTATCCAAATACTCCTTACAGTCTCTCAGTAGACCTAAAGGTAGACTGAGATAAACTCAATGTAGAAAGGTGATTATTTGCTTCACAAAAGGATTCTTTACCATTTAATTCTCCTAAATAGTAAACTTCAGAAGCCTTTTTAATCTAAAGCAGGATTTCATTCCAAAGCCTTTGATTTAAAAGCATAGCTCTAACTCTACTTTCTTTCTTTCTTTCTTTCTTTCTTTCTTTCTTTCTTTCTTTCTTTCTTTCTTTCTTTCTTTCTTTCTTTCTTTTTTAAGTGAGAAAGGAGGATTTATTGAGAGAACAGAAAAGCTCCCACAGTGGGAGGGGACCCAAAAGGGTTGCCCTACAGATATTCTTGAAAATTATTTACATGTGTCTTCGCAGCTCTAGATTTCTCTATCCATAAGAGTGATTCCTTCTCAAACCCAGCCTAAAGATCTGGGTAAAGCAAGAGAACTGGGAGTTTAGAAGTTCCAGTCTTAGCTACCATTCTGTTCCAGACTTCTGTTAGGACTTTAGAAAGTTTCAGATTGGGAATTAAGAAACCTGGGTTCTATAATAATAAGTAATAATAACAACATAATGGATACTACTTATTGGACATTGTACCACATGCAATATAGATGGTATAGTATAAATTATCCTACAATAACCCTTGTAAGCTGGGGAATAGTATCCCTATTGTAAAGATGATAAAAGGAGCTTTTAGAGGTTATGTAATTTTCCCAAGGTCGTACAGATAGTAATGAAGTTAAGATTTAAACCTAAGTTTACCTACTTCAAGTTCATGTTTCTTCTCTTTCTATCTAATGTAGTAACCTTGAATGAAACACTTAAACTCACTCAGCTGAGGTTTTTCCTCTATAATATCAAAATTTTAGATTAAGTCAGTGATTTTTCAGCCCTAGCTACGCATAGAAACTGCCCAAGGAACTTAAAAAACAACAAAACTAATGTAGAGGCTGCATCTCAGACTAATTAAATTAGACTCAACTGGGGTGGGGCCTAGACATTATTTAACTTCCAGATTGAATCTAATGTGTTGCCAGAGTTAAGAATCACTGGACGTGTGACTGCCAGAATCCCTTCCAGTTCTTAAAAACTTAAAAGCATATCTCAAGTAATTACGAACCTCATCTTCCCCCTTTGAGCTAAAACTACAACCTCTCCAATAGCCATGACTAAGACATTTCAGAATCCTGCTCACTAGGTTATTTTCTCTTTCCTTCTAAACCTCTCATGTGGAACAAATAACCGATACAATGAGCTCTTGAAATTACAGACTTTTAAAAATTGACAAAGTTTATAAGTTCTCTAAATCTCTCTACCCCTTTTATTGACTAAATCATGGGAAAGAGGGCATCATGAGAAACTGATTATTTGTAGTCATACCAATAAGACAGAGAGTAGTAGCCAAGTGAGGAACCTAGAGATGTTGATACCCAAGGAAGCTCCCAAATCAACTGCTTGCCAACTTGGATAAGAGTCAGGTTGGGGGCCTTAGCCTAATCTATGAGCAAGACTCATTTATTTTTGCATGTGAGTTATAATCACTGGTTGTTGAGCTCTCCAAATCTTGAGCTGGGAGAATTGTTGTTAAGAGCTGAATGGAAAGAACGGATTACACAAAATAAATCCTTACAGATACAAAAGCAACACTAGAAAACCCGTGACCATCATGCTTTGTTTTGTTGGGCTATGAACTGTAGGAGTTTGCTCGGAAAATGCTTTGATACACACAAATAACAACAGGGAGCTAGCAGATAGAACAGGCTTTATGTGTAAGATGAGTGCATATTTTTTTGAAGCAGAGAATCATCTCATTAAGAAGGTTTTTAATGACTCTCTATGGCCAAATTTATCTCACTTTAGTTAATGATTTCCCAAACGAGCTTACTTTCTCTGCTGTCTTTCATACTTCCTTCTAAATGCTGGAAGACTGCCTCTGGACCTCACCTCTCCAGCAAAGAATTTGAGGAAGAACTCACTGGCATAAAAAAACAAAAATCATAAAAGGAATGGTTTGTACTCTGACTTAGTTAAACCAAATCATTCTGACAACTGTAAACATTGATGTAAATATTCACCCCATCTTTGTCACATTAATCTTGAAACAGTTCTTTCAGTAAGCATGAACAGGGAGAATATAGTAACTACAATCTGAATTAAACAAACCTTTTCTCTCTGGGACCTTGGTTCTGAGAACTCTGGAAAATAAAGTTTAAACTGAGTGGGATTTTCTCCCACTAACTTCTTAATAAACATGACTGAAAATTTGGAATAGCTGGATTGTCACAAAAAAGTAAGGAACAGAAATGAAGAGCTCTGGATGGGACAGACAGACAGGCCTGGGTCCTTATCCTCTATATATCATGATCACCAAACCACTGAATAAAATGATTTTTAGGTTCATGCAGTCAATTTTCTGTGGAGCAGAGGTGAGCACCTCAGAGACCACATACTTCTGACATTTTCAGGCAAAAGTTTGATGGGGAAAGTAGGGAAACATGAGGTTTCAAAGAGGTCTGTCCCAAGCAAACATTTTAATTTCAAATGTTTTTGCCCTTACACTTAGATCTTCCACCTCCTGCAACCCGAGAAAGACCACCAGGATGCAAAACGGTGTTTGTGGGCGGCCTGCCTGAAAATGGGACAGAGCAAATAATCGTGGAAGTGTTTGAACAATGTGGAGAGATCATTGCTATTCGGAAGAGCAAAAAGAATTTCTGTCACATTCGCTTTACTGAGGAGTATATGGTGGACAAAGCCCTTTATCTGTCTGGTAGGTGTTTAGTTGTGAGGATTGTGCCCACAAGGCACAATTCAGAGACTGGATATCAGGGTATTTGTATCCATAGCAGCTAAAGTTTGAACTTAATGTTACCCTTTCTTGTCTTTGGCAATGGAAAGCGCATGTTCCCACCCAACTTCTTCCTTTAAATCTCTTTAGTAGCTTCCAATTGTCTGTAAGATAACTTCAAATTCCTTGCAGGTGGTATCTCATGACTTGATTATGTGCTCTACCACTCAGTGTCACCTCCCAGTCCTTCCCTTATATACTGTGTCCCAACCACACTAAATGAAGTCTAGTTCCCACTATGTGCCTAGTATTTTAGGCCTATTCCTCTGACTAGAATCACCTTTTCTACCCCTATCCACCACACACACACATCTTCATGTCCTAAAGTTCCAGTTCAAGCACAGCATCCTCTAGAAAGCTTTCTCTGACTTATCTCTCTACTCTGCTCTGGGCTGGTGTATGCACCCTGTCCTCTGTGCTTCAGCAGCACCCGGTGCTTCTTCCCAACATGACATCCATTGCACCAAGCTAGTACTATCTCTTTCCACATCCATCTCTCCCACCAGAGTGTGAACTCCTTAAGAGTTCATTGAATCCCCAACACCTAGCACATAACCTGACACAAAAGTAGATGCTCAAAAATAGTTAGGGAAGTCAGTTATCAAATATTTATTGACTGCTGGCAAAATGCTAGGTTGCTGGGGATATGGGAAAGACTGAGACAGACTTCCCGTCATTAAGGTATTACATTCTGGAAATGACAAAACATTTTATATATATATATGAACATACATTTATATATACATGCAATAAAGAAGTTAATTTCAGTACTAATAAGTGCTCTGAAGAAGATTTTAAAAGGCTATTGTATTCAGAGACAGTAGAAAAGGAAGTCTACTCTAACAGTTGAACTGAGACTTGGATTATGTAAGAAGAGCTTGCCATGTGAACATCTTGGGAAGGTGCATCCCAAAATAAGGAACAGCAAGGCAAAGGCCCTGAGATGAAAATGGATTTGGCATGTTCAAACTGAGGATAGAAGGTTAGTATGACTGGAGCATAGTGAATGAGTGAAGGGTGGAGGGAAATGAAGTCTGAGAGGTGTGCAATACCAAATCTTGCTGGGTCTTATAAACTATAATAAAGAATTTTATTCTGGTAGCCACTATAGTATTTTAAGGAACAGAGTGACATGGTCTGATTTACATTTTAGAAGCATTACTCCTGGGCAGAAATATACTGAGAGGTATGGGCAAGTGTAGTGACTAGGAACTAAGTTATCAACTGTAACATTAGTCTAATGCAGAAGTTCCAGTCACTTATATAGTACTGTGGTTGGAATATAGATAGTAAGAATTACTTTGCATAAAATGTCCTGTTCATGGTGAAAATTCAGATTTGGGGTGTGTCTTAGTCCATTTTTTACTGTTTGAAACAGAATACCTGAAACTGGATAATTTATAAAGAAAAATAATTTATTTCTTACAGTTATGGAGTCTAGGAAATCCAGGGTCTAGGGGATACATCTGGTGAGGGCTTTCTTGCTAGTGGGGTCTCTCTGTAGAGTCCTGAGGTAGCCCAGGACATCACATGGTGAGGGAGCCAAGCATGCTAACATGCTAGCTCAGGTCTCGCCTCTTATAAAGCCACCAGTCCTATCCCCATGATAGCCCATTAATTCATGGGTGGATTAATCCATTCAGGAGGGTGGAGCCCTCATGACACCATCACCTTTTAAAGGCCCCACCTCTCAATACTTCTACATTGGGAATTAAATTTCAACTTCGGTTTTAGGGAAGACAAGTATTCAAACACATAGCAGGGCAACTGAGTCATGAGTATTGTAAAGTGAAGCCTCTTTTGCCTTTTGAGTTGGTCTTAAGATAAAGTTCCAAAGCTGATCTTTGGTTTATTTTAAATCGATATTGTTTTTTGTGGGGAAATGGACAAATATGCCAGAAGGAAGAAGACAGAGTAATTGGAAAGGGCTTAGAACAATTAACTGCTTCCCTGCCTAAGAGTAATGGTTTGGAAGAATTGAGTACTAGACGTTTTATGATGACAGCATGTTTATTCATATAACAGATGCTTATTGGGCACCTCCTTTGTATAAACTGCTGTTGTAGATGCAGAGTAGAAAATGAGTAAAACCCAGTTCTTCCCTTTAATGAATGTAAGATTAATATGCAGTCATACATTCATTTATTAAAGAAAAAAATTATTTAGTGCTAGGCATTACTTAAGACACTGATAAGACACACTCACTGTTAATAATAATAAAAGATTAAAAGCTATGAATGCCATGGAGGAGAAGTGAGGGAGGAAGGGGGGAAGGAGAATGAGATTATTTCTGACTCCTAGCTGGGGGTGTCAAGGAAGATAGCTTTTCTACCAAGTCTTTGACAAAGAGAAAACATTTGTTTGTGAACAGTGAGGGTAGACACAGCATGAGCAAAGGTACAAAGGTGGTGAGCTTTGGAAAACATTCAGGAAACAGTGAGTAGTGAATTGTGTATTAAGTAGACATAAAAGGAGGAGGGAACACATCAGTTGTTAGCAGATTCTGAAAGGCTTAACAGTGGGTCTTTATTCCTCAGGTAATAGGGAATTGTTGAAGAAATTTTTGAACAAGGAAGATAATTGTTTCTGAAAGATTAATTCGACAGCTTTGTGTAAAACAGTATTAGAGGAGAAGGAGAGGAGGTCAGTTAAAAGCCTGTTGCAATAGGTCAGGGAAAAGGTAATGAGGATTTGAAAAAGTAGGCTAGTAACATGGGGAAGGAGAGGAGGAGGTAGATGCAAAATACTCTTATTACAGTTGTTAAGTGCTGTAGAATGTAACTCCAACGATTCAACAGCACTTAGCAATGATAACAGACCATTTCACAATAGACTATTTTAATAAGAACATAAAGGTCTCAGAAAACTCTGCATAGCTTTACATAAAAGATGATACATTTCTCAGAAAGCATCCATTTGTTAACAGCCACCTCCTAGAAACATTCTTAGGACTGCCAAAGGAAAGGGGATCTGGTCAGTGATATGAAAGTAACTAAATTTGGCCCTTTAAAGTTGGACTTAGCCCTTGAAAGAGCACAAGTGCTAGCAATCTCCTGAATAGTGTGGCTGTTATCTCACACTGTAAAAGAAAGCAGCTAAAACAAACAAAAATTCCTTATAAAGGAGGGTAGAAACTGGGGAGATAATCATTTTTTTACATTGGAGTTGGAACACCTTTGGGAGCTGGTACTGTTCACAGTGTACCCACCCCATAGCATAGCATCTTCAGTGGGGTTTATATAGATAGAGCTTTCATATCATTCTGTTCTTTGATCGTCTCTGCAGTCTGGGAGAATAGGCAAGGCAATTATTAGTGGTCCTATTTTGTTGATGGCTCAGATGGTTAAATAAGATGAATGGATGTACAAGTGCGTTGTAAACTCTAAAGGGCCCTAGAAACGTTTGCTTGTGCAAACTTTCTTTAAAAATGTGTGGCAGTTTTGTATTACTAAGTAATATTTTCATAACAGTTTTATTGAGTTATAATAATTAACATCCAAAGACCTTCACATATTTCAAAAATATAATTATATAATATTCTATATATGTATACAGATGTGAAATCATCACCAACAATCAAAATAATGAATATGTCCACCACTCCCAAAAGCTTGCTTCATACCCCTTTTATAATTCTGTCCTCCTATCCCTCCCCGCTTCCCCACAGCCAACCATTTACCTGTTCTCTATCAGATTAGTGTGCATTTTCTAAATCTTTATATAAATGGAATCATACATTATGTATACTTGTCTTCCCTTTGTATAGATGCAAACTTCCATTGGTGTAATTTTCCCTGTGCTTGAATTTCCTTTAACATTTTTTGTAGTGCAGGTCTTTTCCTGATGAATTATTTCAGCAGTTTTTGAAAAAGATTTTATTTCACCTTTCTTTGTGAAAGATATTTTTCTGAGCATAAAATTCTATGTTCCAGCTTCCCCCTGCCCAAGATGTTCGACTAATTTCTTGCTTGTATTGTATCCAACAAAAAATATCATGTTATCCTTATCTTCATTTCTCTGTACATAATATATCTTTTGTCTATGGCTGCTTTTAATGTATTTTTTATTGCTGGTATTGGGCAACTTGATTATGAATGCCTTGGTGTAATTTTCTTCATGTTTCTCATGCTTAGGGTTCATTGAACTCTTGGATCTGTGAGATTTCATCACATTTAGAAATTGTTTTCCCCTCATTTCTTGAAATATGTTTTTTTGTTTCTACCCCTCTCCCCTCTCATTCAGTGCTCCAATTAGGCATATATTAAGCCCCTTGAAATTGTTTCACTGGTACTCTGTTCTTTTTTTCAGTCTTTTTCTTTATGTTATAGATAGTTTATATTGCTATGTCTTCAATTCATTATTTTTAAAATTATAGATTCAAGGGTACATGTTCAGATTTGTTATATGGCTGTATTACATAGTAGTGAGGTTTGGGCTTCTAGTGTACCCATCAACCAAATAGTGAACATTTTACCCAATAGGTAATATTTCAACCTTCACCCCCTTCCACCCTCCGTGTATTATTTACGTCTTTATATTCATTGTTTAACTCTGATAAGTGAAAACATATAGTATTTGCTTTTCTTTTTCTGAATGATTTCACTTAGGATAATGGCTTGCAGTTACATTTTAAGGTATTACTAAATTCACACATCCAAGATCCCAATCTTCCTATAATCCAGTTGGGCAGGTGAGAAAAACATTTCTCTCTTACTGCTTTCAGAATTTTTTCCTTCATGCTGACTTTAGGTAGTCTGGTGACTATATGCCTTGGTGATGTTCATCTTGCAAAGTATCTCCAAGTGCTCTCTGAACTTCTTGTATTTGATGTCTACATCTCTAGCAAGACCAGGGAAATTTTCCTGGATTATTCCCTCAAATATGTTTTCCACACTTTTTACTTTTTCTTCTTCTCTCTCAGGAATGCCCATTATTCATAGATTTGGTTGCTTTACATAAGCCCATATTTCTTGAAGGCTTTGTTCATTTTTAAAATTCTTTTTTTCTTTATATTCATCTGACTGGGTTAATTCAAAAGACCAGTCTTCAGGCTCTGAAATTCTTCCTTCTTCATAATCTGGTCTGTTTTTAAAGCGTTTAACTATATTTTGTACCTCCTTCAGTGACATTTTCATTTCCTGAAATTCTGTTGTTGATTTTTAACATATCTGTCTCTTCTTTCATATCTTGCATTGTTTTCCTGATTTCTTTGTGTTGATTTTCAACTTTCTCTTGGATCTCATTGAGTTTTCTTACAATCCATATTTTGAATTATTTATCTTGTCATTTCAGAATTTTTATTTTAGTTAGGATCCATTGCTAAAGAGCATTCTTTTCTCATGGTGCCAGAGTTCCTATGCTGGATTTTGTTTAGGTGAGACTTTTTCCCCCTTGGGGGTGTGCCTTAGTGTATGTTGGGTAGGATCCTTTGTCTTTGCTCCTTTAGCCCTGCGCATTTCTGTCAGCAGATTTTGTACTGGTTTATACAGTTCAACCTCCAGGGCAGTAAGTGCTGACTGTAGCAGAAATAGATGGGTAGGTACTTAATCTTTATTTACTGGGAGGTGCTCTCTGCTGTTCAGATAGGTAACAGACTGGTCTGTGGAATTTTTAGTACTCTGAGTTCCCTATCACCAGGAGTGGTGGGGGACAAAGCTGAGTGGAGCTGGACCACCAAGCTCAAGAGCACAGGCACCAGCCCTGAAAGGGGTTACCCATAGGAGTGACTCCAGACACCAACCCTGAGTGGGGTCCTCTACAGGAGTGACTTCAGGGAGGGACTTCATCCCTCAGCCCTATACAGACAGCTTTGTAGCTCACTAGTTCTCTGATGTGGGAACACTGCTGCTTCAAGTAGAGATGAGGAGGGCTCTGCCTTTCAATATATGTGGGTGGGTGTCAGCTGTGGAGGGGTCAGCTGGTTGAGTCAGCCCAACCTCAGACTCTGGGAAGAGTGGTTAGGTGCCAGTGGTGGTAGACTGGACTATGCAATCCTTCAATCCCTAGACCCCTAGATGACCCACTAGAGGGTGTATATGAGTCCTGGAATCACTGGTCTGGGACTGGGCCAGCAAACTTATTCTCAGGTCCCCAGGATTTGGGTGCTGGCTGTGATAAGGAGAGATGGACTGATCCCCAGATCACTGGCAGAACTCTCAAGGAGGGGCAGGGGCAGGCAGAACGCTGAGGCAGCAGTAGAATGCTCAGACTGTGGGAGCCCCAAAGTTCATTATTTTTTTCTTATGCAATGTCTAATTTGCCAACAGTCCTATCCAGTAATTTTTTTTTCTTCAGTTCAGATGTTATAGCTTAAATCTCTAGAAGTCTGATTTTGGCCCTTTTTATATCTATTTTGCTTCCACTAAATATGTTTAATCTTTTCTCTAACTTCTTGAGCATGTTAAATCTAATTTTAATAGTTGGGGTTGTTGTTGTTGTTGTTGTTGTTGTTTTGAGTTGGAGTCTCACTCTATCACCCAGGCTGAACTAAGGTACCACCCTCACAACCACCCAGTGTCGACCTGCTGGGCTCCAGTGATCCTTCTGCCTAAGCCTTCCAAGTAGGCAGAACTACAGGCGTGCGCTACCATGCCTGGCTAATTTTTTGATTTGTTGTAGAGATGAGGTCTCACCATGTTGTCCAGGCTGATCTCAAACCAGCGGGCTCAGGCAATCCTCTCACCTCAGCCTCCCAAAGTGCTGGGATTACAGGCTTGAGCCACCACGCCCAGCGTAATAGTTGTTCTTATGTCCTAACCTATTAATTATATTATCTGTGGCACTTCTGGATCCATTTGGATTGACTAATTTTTACAACCTTTATTATGGGTTATATTTTCCTTCTTCTTTGCATACCAGGTAATTTTTTTTTATTGACTACCAGACATTGTAAATTTTAACTTATTTAGTGGCACATTTTCTTTTTCTTTTTTTTTTTTTTTTTAGGTTTGTTCTATAATGCAGCTAAGTAACTTGGGAAATTAGGTTTTGCTTCTTAGGCTTTGTTCAGCAGGACCAGAGGAGTTTACTCTAGGTCTAATTTTTCTTCAGTATTAAGACAAAACCCTCCTGATTGCCTGACACTCTGAATATAAGTTTTCCTGCTGCGGCTGGTGGGAAAAGGAGCTATTCCCAACCCTGTGAGAGCTCCAGGGATTGTTTACCGCTAATATTCAGGTAGTTCCCACACACACACGCAGACATTAATACCCAGCTAAATAATAGTGGAGGGACCGCTGCAGATCTCTGAAGTTATTTTTCTGTGCAACTTCCTTCTTTCTGGGAGTCTTACAGACTCTATTGGCCATAGTCTCCCTGGACTCCAAGTTTAAGTTTAATCTCCTCAACTTTGGAAGGCTACCATGCTCTGAGCTCCCCTCCCTGTGCTAAGGTTTGAAACTCTCTCCAGGAAATACGCTGGACAATCATAAGGAGCACTTTACTTGATTCTTATCTCTCAGTGAACACGGTCTTCATTCCCTGATGTCCAGTGTCTTAAAAAATATTTTATATATTTTATTTATATTTTTTATTGTTTAAGGGAGGAGGGTAAATCTAATCCCTATTACTCTATCTTTGCCAGAAGCAAAAGTCTATGTTGGGTATTATTCTTGAGAGACAGGTTAGAATAAAGAAAGCACAATGGATTTGGAGTCTAACATCCTGATTTCAAGTCCCAGCTCTAGCATTTACGTTATTTGACCCAGGGCAAGCTGCTTAACCTCTCTCATCTCTCTGATGCTTAGTTTTCTCTTTGGTAAAATGTTTACTGTGCAAGATTGTGCTGAGAATGAAATGAGATAAATGTGTGGAAATATCTAGCTCAGCTCCTGAAACTTAAATAGTACTTAAAAATTTTCCCCCCTTTTTTCAGAGACATGACTTGGGTAGTACAGCTGGCATAAAAATGGGAGGTAGGGAGTTGAATCTTGTTTTTCTGAATCCCAGTCCTATACCACTATATTACAACCACACTACCTCTTCTTTTTTAAGGACCCCAAATTACATGTCACCTAGGTCTCACACCACTCCCCATCATGTTTACTTTTTTTCAGAAAAAAATATGGTTCAAAGTTGCCAAGTGCTTTTAGGAAGCAATTTTAGGGATTAAAATACCAAGTCAATACATTTAAATTTTACCCAAGTCTATGTGATGGTATGACTGACACTCTTGAATTTATTAAAGACACCAGAGTTTTTAGTCACTTTTTTTTTTGAGTTGGAGTCTCACTCTGTCGCCCAGACTGGAGTGCAGTGGCATGCTTCGGGCCACCACAGCCTTGACTTGCTGGGCTCCGGCGATCCTTCTGTCTCAGCCTTCCAAGCAGCTGGAACTACAGGCGTGCGCTACCACACCTGGCTAATTTTTTGATTTATTGTAGAGACGAGGTCTCATCAAGTTGCCCAGGCAGGTCTCGAACCTGTGGGCTCAGGCAATCCACTCACCTCGGCCTCCCAAAGCACGGGATTACAGGCTGAGCCACCAAGCCTTCTCAACCCTTGGTGCTATATGGAAAGGGAATTTGAGGTTATATGGTTACTTGGAACTGCTGCAGTCACATCTGAAACACTGAACTTGGAAAGGTATTAACAGTTGCACACTCATTTCTCTCTTATGTGTGTGCGGTCTTTCTCTCTCTCTCTCTCTCTCTCTCTCTCTCTCTCTCTCTGTCTCTCTGTCTCTCTGTCTCTCTCTCTCCATCTCCATCTTGTGAACTTAGGTTACCGCATTCGCCTGGGCTCTAGCACTGACAAGAAGGACACAGGCCGGCTCCATGTTGATTTCGCACAAGCTCGAGATGACCTATATGAATGGGAGTGTAAACAGCGTATGCTAGCTAGAGAGGAGCGGCACCGTAGAAGGATGGAAGAAGAAAGATTGCGCCCACCATCCCCGCCTCCAGTGGTCCACTATTCAGATCACGAATGCAGCATTGTTGCCGAAAAACTAAAAGGTATGGAAGATACTCAAGCTTCATGGTTTAAAGAACTTTTTTCTTTAGGAAAGTTTAGTAACTACAATTGTGTTGTTGAGTTACCCCTTGAATTTCCTACTAATGAATTCTAAGCCTTTCTTGTGTTTGATGAAAGCTAACAGATAGAGAAGTGTACCTAATAACTCAAGAACCAGAAAATTTGTCCCTGTCACCTGTGACTCTGCTCCTTCATTGTCTCAAGGGGTGACATTTCTCTCTCCAGATACAAGTGACTAGGAAGAAACAGGTTTTTCTCACTTTTCCACATCAGGGAATTTTAAGTATATTCAATGACTTGGGACCTGTATGTGTCCCCTTTCATAGTGGATACAAGTTATGTTTTAATTTTAAGTCAAATGAGTGAATCAAGATGATAGAACTTGATGTAAGCCTGAAAAACTCTGGTGCAATTACCATTTTAAAGATGAGAAAATGGAGGTCCAGAAAGTAGTCACAGTGTACAATCTTCTTAGATTACTAAAGGACTTAGCCACTATCTCTTACAAAAAAGACTTTTTTAATAACTTCAAAAGGTCAATTTATTTTACACAGTGACTATGGAGACTTCTAAACATTCCTAAATCAGACTACTTTCCCATTAGTTTTGATTCCTGTTCCCCTTGCTTTGCTGCCAGCCATTTCACTAATTTAACATTAATTGCCCTGCCTGTTCTCCTGTCCTAGTAGCTCGAATCCAGTCTTTCTCATTTTCTGACTATGGTTTATTTTATTGAATGAATGCTGGTACCAAATTGATCTTATTGATGACACCAATCCAGCTCTAATGGTAGGAATTTTCCCTATTCTTTTAATTCCAGTTCAGCTAGATGTTGCTAATTCTACTTTCCAGATAGGTCTCATTCACTACTCATCTGTGCCACGTAGCCTAAGGGATTCACACATTTAAGAATTTTAAGAAATCCCTTTGGGTTTATTTTTTTTTACCTTCTGTAAGGGATAAGCAGAAAACCTAGAGTCCAGAATAGATCCACAGAAAAAATGATATATTTTGAAAAACTGAAAAAGCTGAAAGGTTTGATAAGATGCCAGTTCCAAGACTTGCCTATACACAACACCAAAAAAAATCACTTTAAGTTTTAAAAAAGATGAATTTGCTGGCTTTGTGGCCCTCAAGAGAAGCAAGAACTGAGCATCAACATAAAAACTTTATCTAAGTGATGAAGTGAAAGCCTGCTATAAAGGGCGACTGACCACTTGTTATATGTCTGCACTGAAAAAAAGGCAAAGAGGCAAGAAGATCAAATTGCGGTAAAACAAATTTCCACTTGACATAAGGGTTTCTAGTCAGAGAAGGATGTGAAGCCCTAGTATGGGACTTCAGTGGTTGCTAATGGACTTTCCCTCTCAGGAGTCTAACAACAAAATGTATAAGTAGCCATCTGGGGAGCTGAACCAGAAACTTTGGAAGAGCTGTGCTACTATCTTAACTAATCCGAGAATAACTCCTAAGTAGCTGCACAAATCTACTTGGAGAGTTCCTCAGGCAAGAGAAAAAGAATGAGAATAAATATAAAAATAAAATGAATTGCATCACAATAGATTGTGACTGGGACTGAGTGGAAGGCCTAGAACTGTGGATTGGATGCAGGAGTGATATTATAAAAGGTCAAAGATATAAGTGTTTATACCTAAAGAATTACCCACTTCACTTTTTTCCAGGACTCCTTCTAACACTGTAATTCCATAGACCCAGGGTAAAGTTCCTGTCAAACTCAAATTAAACTCAGGTCTCAAGTCTCAAGTTTACTTTTCTTCGTTAAAACACAGGGTTGTAGAATTCTGAAGTTCCCTCACTAATTCATATCTCCTCTTCTCTTCTCTTCTCTTCTCTTCTCTTCTCTTCTCTTCTCTTCTCTTCTCTTCTCTTCTCTCTCTCATACATACACACACGTACACACACATACACACACACACACACACACACACACACAAACACACACACACACTCAGAGAGGATAAGAAATTTGCGATATGTGAAAAACCATAATATCAGTACAGAGGAGTTTTTGTTGAGGAAAGAAGTGACATTTCTCTTTCTGAAAATCCTTCATAGACTACAACAAATCTAACAACTTTTGAGTCTTTCATTCCTCTGATCTGTCTACTTGCCTGCTGCTTGCATGCACACATATGTGCATGTATGGCTCCTCATCCCTGGCAGTTTGTTTAACCACAACTGCCAAAAGGCCATGGTAGCCTTATTCTAAAACTAAATCCTTTTTTTACTTTTACAGATGATTCCAAATTCTCAGAAGCCGTACAGACCTTGCTCACTTGGATAGAGCGAGGAGAGGTAAACCGTCGCAGTGCCAACAACTTCTACTCCATGATCCAGTCAGCCAACAGCCATGTCCGCCGCCTGGTGAATGAGAAAGCTACTCATGAGAAAGACATGGAAGAAGCAAAGGAGAAGTTCAAGCAGGCTCTTTCTGGCATTCTCATTCAATGTGAGTGGAAGTTAGAGTTCTACTGGAAGGATGAGAGGGCACTTCACTTAGTCACCACTTGCTCTCCACAGGAACTCATGCCTACAGAGCCATCTTGTGTCAAGAACCGAGGCTCTCTTCCTCCCTATCTTGTGCTCTTCTATTGCCAAATGCCCAAGCTTCAGTTTCACAGGCTACAAATAGGCACCTCCTGTTTTCATTGTCTCTGGAATATCTGCTTCAACTCCTGAGAAACACTGATACTTAGGCCACATCTTATAGTTTTACAGCCCCAGGCCTCAGTGGAGGGTTGCATATTTTATTACTGAAGTTACGATGTGGCGTCAGCATTTTGAAACTGCTTTTCTTCAGATTTACATCATTACTGTCATGTAATAAGCTTTTAATGATAAATGTAATTATATTTCCTAAGTTGGTTGAAGAAAAAACAAATTTGCTACTTCTGCATTTTGTGTTTAGTTTCCTTTCTTCCACTACCTTTGCTGGATGTCATAGATACTGGGATGCGATGAGAAGTCACCAAAATAGCCATTTTCAAAAAGAAGTATCACTCCAAACCTATCTAGGGTCTCTTAGCTGAGCTAGATCAAATACATTCTCAAGTCATGCTTTTTGTTCACCATATTGTAAAAGTATGCACTCAAACCTTTTCAGTAAGGAACTGCATTCACCTTAAAAATAAGGGTGCAATTTTATGACTTTGCTCTTAAACAATTATGGTCTACTCTTCCCATACTTGACTTCCCATACTTGACTCATACATAATTGGGATTAAGGAGGAGTTGTTCCATTTGCCACTTGTATTTTGAAAGTATATATGGGCATAAAATCTAGGAAGTGAAAGCACATGTCTTCAGGACTTAAGAATAAGCAGAAAAAGAGAGCAGCAAGCATCATAGGAATAGAAATCCTTAAATCATTAGTATACAGGGTGCAAACAGAGCTGTAAAGAAAAAATAACACCTCTGGATTTTCATACTGTGAATACCCAGCCAGACAGGGGCTCCTGTGTTGCTTTTTATTTCTCAAAAACATCCTAAGCTTCCGCTCTCTTGAACCGGTTAGGATAAAGCCCCAGAATATTTGTACACACTTCTCTGTTTGGCATTTTAAGAGACCATGAAAAATATGCTCTAGGACTGCACATACACAGTATTCTTCCATAAAACTTGTATTTCTCCAGTCAATGAGTCTATCTAGGTAGACTTAAAAGAGATTCAACCCATCATAGGTTTTGATATGATATTTCTGGTTAAACATACCTCGGAATAGTAAAAGGATAAATTCTGATGAAGCATCCAAGCTTATTTCCAAGGGCTAGATTATGGAAGGAACCAATGGTAGAAATTTGCTGGTACAGTTTGCCCTTTGCTTTATTCTGTGTGGGGTCAATAGTGCTAAACTAAATACTAAACTAAAACATTTACTACAACTCTTGCCTCTCCTGCCTACATGCATACACATTGCTCATATTAAAACCTTAGTTGCTATTTTACCCCAAACTTCTGGAGTTCCCTTTTTTTCTTTCTGTTTAATGATGTCTCATCCTTTGAGGCCCCTTTGATATCAGAGTACTCCAATGCATGTAGCCTTTTCCAAGCACAACAACAGCGTAGTATAGTGTCATACCAAGAAGATACAAGACTGATGCTTCTCTTTTATCTTATTTATTTCCCCCTCTCTTTTGCCATCCCTGGATGATACTCTGGCCTGATCCAACTGATGATTCAACACTGCAGTTGAGCAGATAGTGGCTGTGTACCATTCCGCCTCCAAGCAGAAGGCATGGGACCACTTCACAAAAGCCCAACGTAAAAATATCAGCGTTTGGTGCAAACAAGCTGAGGTTGGTAACTTTTTACTCTAGCGGCCCCTCAGGGGGACAGTTTCTTTCTTTAGCAAGTTACTGATTTGGAGTTTAGCCAGAATTAAATAGTGCCAAGCTCCCATGGTCACAATAAGGCCCTAATGAAACACTAAGGCATGTTCTATAGCCTGTTGCTGTGTCCAGACCACCTGCTGTCAAAAGGGTAATACATGTGCATGTGTTATCTTGAATGCGTTCTGCTGGATGAAAACTTTAGTAGTGAAAATGTAACTGGGTTAATTACAAGTTTACTTTTCTAAGCTAGCTAGTTTTAGGTACAACGATAATTATTGACCTATACTTCCAATGTTAGTAATACTAGGGCTGTCTTACATTTTTTAGAATGTCTTGACAGTTGAGGCTGGAAGTTACCTGGTGTTACACGGAGCATTGAAATTTCTGAGCTTCTTTTATCAAACCCATCTAGTGATCTTTATAGGTGGCAACTTTAAAGGTAACAGAGGACTCTGATTTCAGGTTAAGGTTGACACATCTCTCTGCTTGTATTTAGGTGACATTTTTTAGCATAACACTGAAATATATGTGATGGGAAGTTTCACTGATCTGCCATTGCAAATGGCATATTCCTCAAGTTCTTTTGTCCCTAGGGGCAGCTTTCTTATCCAGTTCTGATACTTTCAATCCATATATGCAGCAACTTTTTCAAGTACATTTCTGAGTCCTCTTTGCCAGTCCGGTAGCAGTCCCATTATATCTATCAATGCTAGCTTTCATTTTCCTTAACTTTTTAGTAGCATTTATAAGACATTTACATCTATAGAGTACTTCCACATTGGTTTTCTTACCTGTATGGGCCTCACTAGATGGTGGAGTGGAAAGAATATTGAACCTGGAGTCAGACATGAATTCAAATCTCAGCCCTGACACATTATAGCTGTGTGATTTCGAGCAAGTTATTCAGCCTTTTTCAGTCTCTATTTCCTCATCTATAAACTGGAGATAATGAAACTAGTCTTATAGGACTAAATGAGTTAATAAATGTGTAAACAGTTTGAAAAAGTAAATAGTATTACATCAATTTATTATTATCAGCTTCGTAAGGATATAGGTATAGAATTCATGTTTTATACATAAAAAACCTGAAACACAAAAAATGTTAAGTGACTTACACAAAATTACAAAGTTAACAAGTGGACTACAAATTATTCTTCTCACTCTGATCTCTGGTACAAACTACCTTGTGGTCTTGGGCAAATCATTTAACCTTTATGGACCTTTGTTTCTTAATCTATAAAATAAAGATAGTAATCTATTCTCTTTGTCCTTCATGAAAACATATGAGATAGTTTGTATGGGAACAATTTGAAAGCCAACCATGAAGAGTATTTAGGGGAAAATAAACCAAACCGTGTTCATAAACTGATAGTCTCTGAGCTTCAACTCTGGCACAACAAAGGGACCTGAGACTCACTAGAGAGAAATCCCTGAAGACATCCATTTATTGGGTTGATAGAGTCAAAAAGCCAATAGGATCTTTACTTAGTTTTTTGTTTATTTGTCTTTGTTAAGAAGACAAAATAGGAAAAAAAAAATAGAAGCTGTTCTCTTACTGTGGTACAAAACGATTGTAGAATTCCAGGGCTACCTCATGTTGTTGACCCTCAACAAACAGAATTCAACTTTGTGATTCAAATGTTTACTGATCACTTTCTCTGTCTCAGGCATTATGACATACAACACAGGATGAAATGCCCTTTGCAGTCAGGGAGGTAGAAAGGTAACAAAAGTGATCAAAAAGAGGAGTGGCGTTTCATACACTTAGTATCAAATATCCAGACTCTTCAGTTCAAAAGAATAAAGGTTGAGAGAAAAATGCTCAATGTGTCTTGTAATTATAGAAAAGCAGCACAGGCATTAAGTGCCTGCTTTCCCTTCAATACACAGGTGACTTGTATCCCTCTTAAGGGTTAGAAGAAACTGTGAACTACCCCATCCTTTGAGGGAAGCCCTGCCAGTACGATGTTGCCTTTTCATAGGAGAAAGGGAGCTTCTGGTTGGAGTGTTGACTTGCCTAGGCCACAGTCCTTTTGTAAACTACATTGCAATAAAATATTACCCATCAACATTATTCATCAAGGCTCTGTGGTGTTATATCAAGCCTACCTATCTGGTGGGTGTATACTTGAGTTTAATTAGGTTCACAATAAAGATAGTTGTGCCAGTGAGCTGGACATTTTTCTGGGCCTGTAGAGAATGGAGAGCTTTATTACCCAATATTGTAGCAGAACTTCCTTGGCAGAGTGATGAGAATAAAGTACATGACTGGTGGGACTAGCCAAGAACTACATTTCATACTTTGCCGTGTAGACTTTGTAGAAACCTCAAAAATGGCTTTCTGCCTGTTTGATCGGATTAAATGAAGGTCCACTGTGAATACCCCAATCTTGATAAGTAAAACAACTGAGAGTAGAACAGAGGTCATGACCTTCCTCTGGCATTGCATTCCCTAAATATAAAAGAGGTCTTCCACTTTATGATGTGCCTCTTTAAGTCAGAGGGTTTTTTTTTTGTTTTTATTTTTGTTCTTGTTTGGTTTTTTATTCTCTGTAAACTTTCACTTGATAATAGGCAACTCTGAGGACTGAAATGAGGTATCCTGTGGGAAGTGAAAAAACTGTCCTCTTAAATTGTTGTTGCCTCTTAGCACCCCACTGAAAATTAGAGTGTCTCAAAAACTTCATCAACTAGACTAGCTTTTTTGTGACTTAGATATTGAAGCTGCAACTCATAAATCAAGAGTTTCATCAAGGTGGAAGTTTCTGACATTTAGCCCTTTTACCAGTTGCCTTTGGGAACAGGTCAGCCAGTGACTTCCTTATGACACAAAGTACTTATTCACTTACTCTGCTGAGAGAGAAGTTATGGAGTAAGAAGAAAAAGTCCCACCTTCAGGGAGCTTAGGCACTAACTTTGGTAGCGTATGTCATGCAGACTAGCTTGCTAATGAGTCTTTTTCATTGCTTTGCTTTCCTGATTTATATGTGTGTGAGGCTCCTGCTAATACAATTGCAAAGGGTTGTAAGAGAAGGCTAAAGTGCCTCCCCTTGCTAAAAGTTAATGTCTACAGTGACTTTACTGGTAGTTTTCTGTGTTGTGAGAATTCTTTTTCAATAGAATCATTTAAAACCTACATATTCTCCCAAGCTGGTCTAGATGAGCAGCTAAAACTTGATGTATTAAAAACTAGAGCCACAGCAATAAACACTAGGAGATACCACCTTGCATCCTCCCTACAATGAGGTTTTATGCCATTGAGCCAGAGGAAAAAGCACTTGATAATTGCTAGTATTCTTATAAAATGAAATACTGTGATTGCTAAAATAACTTTCTCTCTAGATTTACAGGCCTTCCATTCCAAACTCTGAAGAACTGTTTGCAGATAGATATTCAAGTCATCCACATACCCTTGTTTTAGGAGTCATCTGCACTAATCTCAGCTTATGGTCTTCAGCCATCAAAAACACACTAACACAGTTTGGATCAACCTAACTTGTATTTCCATTTTGTGTCATACAGTAGACATTAATTAAGAGCCTGAGTTTGTGCTTTGCTTCATTGTATTAAATTATATCTCAGAATCAAACGTCCACATAAGTATAAAAGCTATCTCCCTATCCTCTGCTCCTTTCCATTCCCTCATCCGACCCCTCCCCCCGCCAAGTTTCCTGTTAATGTTGAAAGTCCAGGTAAGTAAAATTTTGTTACACTTAATAGGGGACTTTAATCTTCTGGATAATGTTCCTATCATAAAACATGAATCAGATGAATTTAAGTCCATACAAATGTTGTGAAACTGTAGTTAGATAATTAATATGTAATTTGCTTACTTTATGATAAATCAAAAATGTCAGCTAATACAAAAGTGGTTTTTTTCATGCATTTTCCTGTCTTGAGTTTCAGTTTTATTCTGTATAAAAGTGCTTTGTCCTCCACTGTGGAGTAGTGTGTTATTTTCTAAGCTTCAGAAAAAGTTACTGTTTGTTAGAACAGACTCAAAGTCATTATAATGTGTTTTCAGAAATCACTAACAGTCCACCGTCGAAATGAAAAACACCATAGATCTACTGTGGGCAAGAGAGTAGTATAAAAACTTTAGAAGGGCTGTCTTACTTTTTTGAATGTAGTCCATCAGTGATATGACCCTGTCAATTTCAGGTAGCTATTTACAAATGCAAATTGCTAGAAGATATTTCTATATGCCCTTGCCACGCTTTTGGATTCAGCACTGAACCCAAATGTTAGAATGGGAAATGGGGCAAATCTGGGGGCAGATATTTTCTTTGCTGTCTTCACTTCAGCAACTCAGAGCCTCCCCCTGCCTTCACCTATGTCCAAACTAGGCAGGGTGCCTTCCTCAGGTCCATGCCACTTTTTAGCCCTTCACTTGGGAGGTATTTGTTAGGGTTTGCTCCCCGAAGTCGTGCTTTTCTGATCTAACCAGAAAATGGAGAAAACAATATCTTAGATATCAAGTACTTTAATGGTAATATTTTCAAAGAATTAAAATCTCCCTTTTTGAGGGGAGTACTGTCATTGACCAAATGTTCCCCTTAACTTTAGTATGGTATCTCATAACCTCTAATGTTTTATTTGGCTTTATCTCATCCATGTGATATAGTATTGGGTATTTATAGAAGAAAAAAATGATAACCCAGAGTTTCTTTGTAGCTAAGAAGGATTGTCTAGTAGACAGAGGGCTCTGAGTTCTGCCACTTTGCCTGACTAACTGAACAACCTATGAAACCCTTCCCCTTAGTTTTTCTTACCTTCATTTTGCTAAAGCAACTCTAAAGTAATTCTTGCTCCTGAAGTAGTTTTGAGACATTGAAGTAAAATTTGCCCATAGGTCTGTTATATATCTAGGGATTTTTAAAGATGTAAAAGACCTCTAGATAAGCTGTAGTACATCGTTATTTAACTTTTTATGTTTCTAAGAAGAGATTGTGCTTTCTTGCCTAACTGGGAGCAGAAATAGTTTTGTGGGTGCTGAGCAGCTACAGGACATGTCTTAGTTCTCAGATCTTCCTGCCCTGGGACATTTTCCTAGAAGGAGCACAATTTCCTCTTCTAAGAAACACAATAACTTTCCCAGGGTTAGGTGACATGTTTGTACATTGAGAGTTGATCTCTGCTTATATTCTCTGATAGTCTACGTTTTTGTTAAGGCAACCAGAAAGCCATGACTTTTCCTGCTGCTGTAAGTTGTACAATATTTGAATTTGCCAATATCAGACCTCATTATAATCACCTTTTCAGTAACGCCTCTTTGATGATAACTGAAAATCAGGCTCCTGAAATAGCATGAATTCTCAGAAATGAGAAATTTCTTTATTGTTCTCTGTGCATTGAGTTTGAATAAGACATAGCAAATCTCTCTCTTGACACAGCCCTTTAAAGTTCATTTTTCTCAAGCAAGTCATTATTTTCTTCTACTTTAAGTAATTGTCCCTGCAGCACATGGGAAATACTATGTTAGCATCTGATTTTTTTACTACTTCTTAACTATCAGTGATGATAATGAATAGCTCATTTGTTAAAGGGTCTTTTATTTATTCTCAGTGATAACTTAAGATAGAAATCATTTTTTCCTGATAAAATGAATGAAAAAGGAGGATACTAGCTGAAGTAATAACTATCAGCATTAATTATTTAAAAAACTATTTGAAATATATAATCCCCCTAAATGGAGGCAATTTCACCTGACAACTTTGGATATTTCCCAGTAGGGGCTAACTTAGTCAGATAATTCACTCAGTGCTGAGGATCCTTTGTCAGGCATCAAATGACCTCTAAATAGTTTCAAGGTGCTCCAAAATACATAATACTTACACTTAAGTTTGTTTTTAAATGACTTATCCAGTGTAACTTTGATCATTTCCGATGTTCTTCATACCTTTCTGAAGATCTGTGTTTGTATCTGGTAGCATTTCTCTTCAGCCTGAAGAATTTTCTACAGCATTTTCTATAGCGCAAGTTTATTGATAATGAATTCTTACATTTACTTTTGCCTGAAAATATATTTCATCTTTATTCTTAGAAGAATTTTTTCGGAATGTAGAATTCTGAATAAATGGATATTTTTATTTCTTCTTGAACTTCAAAGATATTATTCCACTAACTTCTGACTTTTGTGGTTTCTAAAAGAACTCAGAGTATTCACATTGTTATTCCCCTCTATATAATATATTGTTTTTCTCTGGATGCTTTCCAGAGTTTATCTTTAGTATTCTGCAGTTTGACTATGATGTTCCTAGACACACTTTGTCACATATATCCTGTCTGGTGTTCACTGGGCTCTTGGAATATGTGAAATAATTTATTTCATTAAATTTGAGAAATCTTCGACATTACTTCTTTGAATCTTTAAAAATCATTTTCTCTCTCATCTTCTTCTGGGATTCCATTTACATGTATGTTAGACCTTTGGATGCAATTTCACAAGTCTCTGGGACTCTGATATATATATTTCCCTGTGTTCTTCAGATTGAATGTTTGTACTGTTCTCTCTTCAAATTTTCTCTTTATTCTGTCATCTCTATTCTGTGTGCTCATTTAGTTATTTTTATTTCAGATATTTTTCAGTTTGAGAATTACTCAGATGTGGTAATTATCAGACAAGGAGTTAAAGCAGCTATTATAACTGTGCTCAATGATATAATGAAAAGATAGGAAATCTCAGCAGAGGAATAAAAAAAAGAAAGAAATCATGTTCTTTGCAGCAACATGGATAGAGCTGGAAGCCATTATCCTAAGTGAACTCACTCAGAAACAGAAAACCAAACACCACATGTTCTCATTTATATGTGGAACCTAAACAGTGAGCACTCGTGGACATAAAGATGTAAATAATAGACACCAGTGACCTAAAAAGGGAGGAAATGAGAAGGGAGGCAAGAGTTTTAAAACTACCTGTCAGGTACAGTATTCGCTATTTGGGGAATGGGGATACCAGAAGTCCAATCTCTACCAGTACACAAGATGCCCATATAACAAACATGCACTTGTACTTGTTAAATCTAAAATGAAATTTAGAAACTAAGTATAATTCAGGATTATCTACTGGAAAAAAGAAACTTTCAAAAAGAGTGCTTGGTTCTTTTTCTTTTCAGACAAAAGAATTGCTGATTCTTTTTATTTTTGAACCAAAAACAAAACCCTGGGCTCCTTTTAAAAGTTTCTGTTTCTCTGCTGAGATTTTCTGTCTTTTCATTTATTATGAGCATATTTCCTTTACATTATGAGTGTAGCTGTGACTGCTTTTTTTTTTTGTCTGCTAAATTGCTTCATCTAGGACATTTCAAAGTTGGTCTCTGTTGATCATCTTTTCTCTCAGAAATGGGACATCTTATCCTAGCTCTTTATATTTCAATTAATTTTGTACTTTATCCTGGTTATTATGGATATGATGACGTGAAGACTCTGGATTCTGTTATGTTCCTCCAAAGAATATTGACTCCATTTTCTTTGTTTTAATGGTCAATTTACTTGGTTTAATTTAAGCTGGAAATTCCGTCTCTTGAGTGGCAGCTCAATTTTCAGTTCAGTTCTTTGAGCCTTAGATGTGCTGTTTGGAATCTTCCTTGTGTTTTCTTGGCTCAGAGGTCATGCAGACATTTGAACAGATCTTATATACAGAATTTGATGCTTCTGTTCTCTCCCACTCACTCATTCTCTTTCCCCCTGGTTCTCTCCTTTCTGGGATTCTCTTCTCACTTTCCAGTTGCTATGGTTTCCATGAACTCTCTTCTCAAGTTTTTTTAGGCCATAAAGACTGAGTTTTCTATGAGAAATTTAGTCACCCTGTAAGGTGCTAACTCTGATCCACCCTCAGACTAGAAGGCCCTTTAAAAACAGAGATTCGGCCAGGCTTGGTGGCTCAGCCTGTAATCCCAGCACTTGGGGAGGCCGAGGGGAGTGAATTGCCTGAGCCCACGGGTTCGAGATCCACCTGGGAAACTTGGAGAGACCTCATCTCTACAATAAATCAAAAATTAGTTGGGCGTGGTAGCGTGCGCCTGTAGTTCCGGCCACTTGAAAGACTGAAGCGGAAGGCTCACCAGAACCCAGCAGGTCGAGGCTGTGGTGGCTGGGAGCATGCCACTGTACTCCAGTCTGGGCGACAGAGTGAGACTCCAACTCAAAAATAAAAATAAAAAATAAATAAATAAAATAAAAAATAAAAACAGAGATTCACCCTATGCTCTTCCCTTCTTCCAAGTGTCAGCTCGTCTTTAGAATATGCCTGTTTTTGTTCATTCTCTAGTGTTGTCAAGTAGTTATGGGTTTTACTTTGTGTTTTGTCCAAAAATTATAGTTATTATGCATGGGAGGATAGGCCTGGTAGAAAATTACCCCTGACTGCTCAGTATTGCTATAACTTCTGAAACTGCAAAAACTCAATTAAGAGTTCTGATGAGTAAAACTATAAGTGGAGAGGGAAGAGGATGACAAGCAGCAAAATTAAAGTGTCCAACATGGAAAAGCAAAAATGACAGAACCCTTAAGGGAAAGTCTAGAAATTCACATTAGAGATAAAGCGTCTTTCGTGGCTGAAAGTATTTGCTATTATAAGAGGAATACAAGAATCATAGACTGTCAGAGCTCTGGGTCTGGAAAGAAAGCCTAATGCAAGAAACGGTGTAACCCTTTGTCTAGGAAACTGTTCCCATCTCTACATGCCTCTTTACCTTAAGAGTATTCTGAGGGGGTTTTTTCCCTAGTATGTCAAAAAAAAGCTGTTTTATTTTTATCTCTGTTCATTTCCTCAACGTTTTCAAGGCTTTCCCAGCTAAAAAAAAGCACATCTTTATATTTTAGGAAATTCGCAACATTCATAATGATGAATTAATGGGAATTAGGCGAGAGGAAGAAATGGAAATGTCTGATGATGAAATAGAAGAAACTACAGAAACTAAAGAAACTGAGGAATCAGGTAAAGATCATTCTATTTTGTTTTATTTAACAAACGTCTACTTGCAGGCACAATATTTTCAAACCTTTAACACCCAGTAAGGTATAGTCATCAACCTATACACCTGAATGCCAGCTAGAAATAATTGGTAGACCATATTAAGTATACACTGGCTGAGTATAAACCCTGCGGCTACAGGATTTTCTGTGGTCTTCATTTATTCCCATCTTCCATCGAAGTGCCTAATTAAAAGTGGATTTTCTTTTCCAAAAAGTGCTGGCATCTAGGCAGCATTGTACTATATTTTGTTTGGATTTATCAATCATATATTCTGCAGTGGAAACCATAAGACAGTATATGCATAGATAGATAACGAGCCAACCTTTCAAGAAAGTTAGAATCTTATATCACGTATACCTTATACCAAAAGTAATAACAGATGGTCTTAAAGTTCCAGTGTTAACAAAATACACATAGCAAAGGAAATAATGGGAAATATAAAAGTTGGTTATATAATTTGAGGTGAAACCTTCCAAAGATAGAAATTATATTTTTAGCAAATGTATCTGCATATATATTAAATATTTCTATAAAAAAGTTGCAAAGTTAAAAGAGAATTTGCAAACTAAGAGGAAATATCTATAACATATGACAGTCTATTTATCTGCTGCCTTCTGGTACAGTTACTTGGGGGCATATTGGGAACCAAACAGGAGTCCACAAACAGTTGTCTAAGTAAAGGCTTTTGCTCTTACCTGGTGTAGTCAAGACCTCACTGTGAAACAGAGGCTGTGATGCAAGTCCCCAGTGAGACCAAAAGGGCAACACCCTACCTTTCAATGTCATGACAAACTGTTTTGGATAGATTACCATGGGAAAGAATAAAATACCAGCTGGAAAACTCATCTTTTCAGGAAAATTATTCCAGACAATCAAGAGTTAGATTGTAGGAAGGTACAGTAGAAAAAACAGTGGACCTAAAGTTAAAACACTTTTTTCTAGTTCCAATTCTGTCCTTCTTGAGCTAGGAGGGACTTCTTCCCCCACTGAGTCTCAGCTTTTACACTTGTAAGAAGTTCATTATAGAAACCATATAACAGGGATTTTATGATAGTTAAATGTTTTCATTCATTCATTTAATAACTATTACATGCCAAGCACTGTGCTAGACATTGGAAATGTAGTGGTATACTATCCCTGCTGTGTGTGTACGTGTGTGTGTGTGTGTGTGTGTGTGTGTGTGTGTGTGTGTGTGTGTATGCGAGATAGTGATCATAATTCAAATCTGAATGACATAGTTCTGGCATTTATACATTGAAGTCAGCAGCTCTGTAGCCACCTGAGTGTTCTTAGAATCTTCACTCTATGAACAGAAACTCCCAAGTGAAAAAACCCTACCAATTCATATGTTTTAAAAGACACCTATTAGTTATTACACCTGAATTTCCTTTATTTTTGCCAAGTATCAGAGCCCTAAACATACAAATTGCTATATATATTGAATATACCCTTTGTAATCAGTGGTTAGTTAGCATTTTCACAATAGTGAACTAATTACAGCAAATAAGTACTATAAATTTATAGCCAAAATAAACAAAAGAGTTTAATAAGAACTGGGCAATTCATATTATTTAAGTGCATAGCTAGGATGTTTTATACCTGATTAATCTTTGACTTATATGATTGTCTCCACCTCAGTATATACAGTATTGTATGCAGTGTTTGTCAGTGTTACTAGGAATAAATGCAACTATAAGTTAAGCATCCACTTGATAAATTGCTGGGTTTGAGGAGTTATTGGGGGAGGAGATGAGTGTATGGGAGATTCAGATTGAATGCACTTACTAGAGTCATATAATTGCATTTTGCTTCTGTATCTCTTTTGAGTTAAAAACTGTATTGGCTACTGCACAGAATCTTATTCGTTTAGAGACTAGAAACTCCCTGACAGATCATCTTATAGCTATTTTCTTTCCTGTTCCACATGCCAGGATGCTGCTTTGTCAAATAAAGCTATCTACAATGGACTTAATGGAGCTTACCAAATAGCTTTTCTCCCAGAAGGTTTCAATTCATTTTAATTCAAGGACTTTTGTGCATTTTTCTTCCCCTCGATCGTATCTAATTCTGTTATCTCACTTCTGTAGTACTCAACTGCAGAAATCCTGCTCAATGTGAGCCAGTGAGAAGGTCCTCAGTTTTTATCGAAAGCAGGTGCATGTTTTAGCTATCTCATGGTTCCAATTAAAAGCTTAAGCAACTGGATCTCAAAGTTATTTTTTTTCCTCTCTTCATGCTACCAAACTTGAACTCCAGGAACCTATAGCATGTTTCTGGTTAGGTTTTACTTCCCAAAGAAAGTGAAACCAGCCTCGCAGTCTCAGCTATGTTTCCTTAAAGTGTCACAAAAATTTTTTTTTTCAAGACTCTACTTTAGCCAGCCCATATTTATGATGCAGCACATGAAATATTCTTGCCATGGAAGAAAGGACTGCATGCTCAAAGCAATGTGTTGAAGAGAGAGAATCATATCAAAGCAAATCATGATTGTATGAAATTATTTCATTCTTTAGTTAGTCATGATGGAGAGTACTTATACCCAGTAAATATGTGAACAGCTATTTCCTTTCAGCATCTTTCTTCTTTCCCCTTCACTTAGACCAGTGGTTCTCAGACTTATTATACCTAAGAATTATTTGGCTTACCTTTAAAAGCTCAGATTTCTGGGCTGCAGAGACTGATGCAGGTCTTTAATGTAGTTTAGGAATCTACATTTTATATCAAACATCCTCAATGTTTTAGATGCTGGTGGTCCAGGTAGCACATTTGGAAAACATTGACTTAGACTAACTCTCCTGCATTGTTTTGGCCAGTTTTCTCTTTCCTTAGTATCAAATGGCTTTCTTCCTTACCCACCCTCCTTCTCCAATTGTTCCACCCTATGAGTTTTACCAAGGGGGAGGGCCAAGATAGCAGACTGAAGGCATTTCAGACTACCACTCTCAGCAAAGAAATCTAAATAGAGGAGTGGGCCTAGGACTTTGAAGGTCAACCTGAAAACCCAAGTCTGAGGTTTATTGGACAGTCACCTGGGAATGCAGAGGATAGATAGCTCCAAGCCTCAGTCACCTCTAGAAGTGACCCCTTCATAAGATCAGGAGAACACTCTTGGAGAAGGAAGGGGTGAGTGAAAGGATCAACTTTTTAAAAATATACTTTATGCAAGATTCTGCAGCCCCAGCCAGGAGAGAGACAGCCCAGGCCCTGGCCATTCCCCTGCCTCCACACCCTTCCCACATTGGCCAGGTGCAGAGAGCTGGAATTGGGACAGAGGCATCAGTATGATCCACGTGTAACCCAGGGAAGCCCAGTTCCCAATGAGCCCTAGCACTGGTGACTGCCAGTACTCCCACAGAGAGGCTCTGTGCAAAATACCCCACGGAGGTGGTCTGTGTCCCATGGGCGATCCCCACTCCCTCCCTGTCCAGCCCCCAGCAGGGGTGATACTTCAATTTCAGGGACATTTCAGCAGCAGCACCAGCAATCATTGTAACCCCAGATCAGGGCTACAGGCTTGGCTTGCCCTCAAGGGGCCACCATCCCTGCGATAGACCCTCCCACAGAGTAAGGCAAGAACTAGGAGGTGGTGCACTTCTGCATGTGGAGGCAGTGGCCCTGCTCACCTGCAGACTGAGGAAGAAATATTGATTCTCCACCAACAAAGCAGCTACCTCCCTTCTGTGCCCTTGTGAAAGGGGTAATTCCACTCAGACAAAAGGAGAACACTTCTTGCCCCCAAGAGTACCTGTGCCAGAGTAGAGCCATGGGGCCCCTCCTGGCTTACTGCCAATCCTGCTGACACATGGGCTGGGTAGGAGGCTGTTAAAACTTCTAGATAGCAAGATACCCTGGCGTTTGTCTCAGAGGGAGGGGAAAGCCTCTGAACTGGAGGAAAGGACTTACCCCATATCCACAAGGCTGCACTGATGAGGCAATGCTAGACAGTTTCCCCCACAATTCAATACCCTTCCTGCCACCTCTGTACCTCCCACGGGCAGATCAGAGGAAGGAGGGCAAGTAAAAAATCAGCACAAACTGCCACCCCAGTAGTAGCAACTTTAATAAAAACAAACAAACAAACAAAAAGATAGGCATCTACCCTCACAGATGAGAAAGAACCAAGAGAGGAAAAAAAAAAAAAAAACACTAGCAATCCCCAAAGGCTTAATGAGTCAGCACCCACATAGGGGTTTCCCAGATCCCAAACAATGGAACCCATCCAGAATGACTTGTTCCTGATGACAAACATATAATTCAGACTATGGATGGCAAAGACACTCAGTGAGAGCCATGAGAACATAGACATACAAATAGTCCAGGCCGCAAAAGCAGTGTAGGAAGTGAAAGCAACTGGGCCATTCTAAGAAGGAAGCAAACTGAACTTCTTCTGGAAATGAAGAATTATCTCCTGGAATTTCAAAACACGGTAGCAAGCCTTTACAGCCGAATTGACCAGGCAGAGGAAAGAATCTTATAAGCCAGTGGGAACTTGGATCCCATGTTCAACATTCTTAAAGAAAAGCAATTCCAACCAAGAATTTTCTACCCCACCAAGCTAAGCTTCATGAATGAGGGAGAATTAAAATCCTTCCAAGAAATTCAATTCTTAAGAGAGTATACCACCTCCAGACCAGCCCTTCAGGAGATGCTTAAGAAAGTTCTAAGTTCAGAATTTAAGGATCAAATTATTGAACTAACCCAGTCTGACAAAAACAAGGAGAAAAGACTTAGGCAGAATGAGAAACAAGAGGTCTGGTATTATATAAAGACCATATCTATGGGTGGTTGACATCCCTGAGAGAAAAAGAAACTGAGAATATCCTGGAACAATCCTTCCAAGATACTATCCAAGAAAATTTTTCCTATTTCACTAGAGAAGCAGTCATGCAGATATAACAGATTCAGAGAACTCCTGTGCAAAGACCATCCCCAAGGCACATAATAATCTAACTCGCCAATGT